CCCAGCAAAAGCCTGGCTCTGGAGAAGAAAAAAAAAAAAGAAAGAAAAAAAAAGGGGGATGCCATGGGGTTTACTGGAGGGGCTGGAGCTGGCTGGGATTTCCCTGGGAGGAGCCAGGACTGGCTGAGCCGGCAGTGGGGAGACAGAGAGCTGGCTGCAGTCCCTTACAGAGAAATACAGAGAAAATTCCTTTCTGGAATTCCCCCTCCCTCGGCACCGGTGCCCCCTGTGCGGGGAGGATTCCCCGTGCCCCTGGAATTCCTGGCTGCGAGTCGCGGAGCCGACTGCTGGGGACAGCGCAGCTTTTATAGCATCAGCGCTGCCCTCCTCCTCCTCCTCCTCCTCCTCTTCCCTCCCTCCTTAGGGAGGATGGTCCTGCTCCTCTGAGCCCCAATGCCCGCCCGTGAGCTGCTGCGATCCCAGCCGACACCCCTCTCCTCCCGGCTTTCCCCCTTTTCCCCTCCCTCTCCTTTTCCTTGCTCCACGCCCGTTGTCGCAGGGATGATCCAGGGTTCCCCTCTGCCTGCAGAGCATAAATACCACTGGGGAGCTCTGGGAGACTGCAGTTGCTCCGAGTTGCTGAGCCGAGACCTTGCACATCTCGCCCCTCCTGAGGCTTATTCCATCCTTTCCCCCCCCATCCTCCTCGTTTAAATATTTCAGATTAATTAATTTATTTTCCACAAGCAGGCTTGGAGGAGCTGCAATTACCTGGAGACTTGGAAGTGCTCAGCAAGGTAAGTGCCTGGCTGCTGAAATGTGGTTTTGAGGGTGGTGGGAGTGCAAGAAATGACTCTTAAGAAGGCACAGTTTTAGTAACTTCTTCAAAAAGTTTCCTGGATGGTATAAAATAACACAATACTCTCTGAGCTTCCCTCCTGTGTGCCCTGCAGAATTGAATGCAAGATTAACAAGCATAAATCTGGAATGAATGGGAGGAGTTTGCAAGTACAGGAGTTGATTTCTATGCAAATAGAAAATATCCAAGGGATGCTGTTGGAGTCATCAGAGCTGTGGGCACATTTGTGTGCTCCAGGCTGCCTGTGTTTGTGCAGCTCTGCTCTCAAGTCCTGGAGGAAAGGAATTTTAGCATCACCACGTGTGGTTCTCCATGTGGTTTTAGGTAGAAACTCACCCACTTGGGTTCTGTGGGACTGAAATGGAAGATGCAGAGGTTTTAACCCATGGCCTTGAAGATGCTGAATCTGTGCTGTGTCCAGGGCAATGTGCCACTGTTGTCCTGTGCCTGGGAACTTGTCATCCTCCTTGTCTCTGGAAGACAACACAGTTGTGCAAAGCTTGGGGTGTGTGCATCCCAGGGAAAGAGATGGCCTGGGGTTTAGGGCATCATCTTGTGGCTTTATCCCTGGATTTCTTTGCACAGGTTAAAGCTGATCCCAGGCTAACCCAGGCTAAAAGCTGATCCCAGGATAACTCATCCTAGATCCCAGGCTAATTCCCTTCTGCTTTGCTGTTCTAAATGCTCTCCTGACATCCTGAGCTAACTTTTCATTTTCCTTCCTTGTCAGCTGGTGCCATGAGTTACCCTGGGATGTTTTAGCTGCAAATGTCACCCATAACCCAGGAGCAGGAGCCCACTCGTGTGCTTCACCAGGGAGGCACTCAAAGCTCAGTGTCCCTAAGGAAAAAGGTGACATGGGGATGTGAGTGCAGGATCAGCCTGCATGTGGCCTTAGCAGTGTCTCTGCCAGGCTTCAGATGTGACCAGCTCTCCTGCTTTCCATGCAAAGCAGATGCCATCCATTAGCTGGGGAAATAGCTTTCTAAAAATAATCTTTCCCTAAGTCCAGTGCTGCACTTTAACTCCCTCAGAGCCCAGAAGAAGGCCTCCCCTTTCTCCCCACTTTGGATAGGCTTTCCAGCATATTCAGGAGTCCTTTTCTGCTGACTCAGTCATTTCTGATGGCTCCCAGATGTTCACCTGGCACCAGTGTCAAGGGCCTGATGTGTTTAAAGGGAGGTTGTGCTCCTCTTGAACCCTCGAAATCAGCAGCAGAGGCTTCCTCAGCTGACTGTCAGCTGAGAATTTTCTGTGAATAATGTCAAACCCCAGCTCGAAGGCAATGTGATTTCAGCCTCCCTGGGTGAGGCATTGCAGGGCACTTGGGACAGGCTGGGCTGGAGCACACATCGAGTGTTTATCTGCACCTGGGCGTGAGGATATTGATGGATGGACATCTGAAATCCCATGACAGCTTTCTGAAACGTGAGCATCTTTCAGCTGCTTTCAATTCATCTGGCCAGGGAACTCCCTGCTCCCCGTCCCTCTCTGGTCCCTTTATCCTTCCTTGGGATGCTCAGCGCTCCTCACCTCAAGCCGAAGCAGAGCCAGGGACTTGCACACCCCGAGTGAAACAGATTAAGCCAAAGTGACCTAATTCTGAAGAGAAGAGGTGCTGGTATCCTTTTGCCGGCGAGTGGGAGCGAGGGAAGCACATCCCGAGGAATAATGCCCCGTCTGTTGGGAGGGCTTGGCTGCCGAGCCCAGCCAGGCGCGCTGGCTTCGCTGCGGAGCCGTGAGCGGGGCAGCTCCTCCGGCTCTCAGATGCTGCAGCTGATTTTTTTCAATCTGCCCTTTCTGAAAGTTCAGTGTTTGCCTTAGATGGGCGGTGGATTTGGGCTCCTGTTTAGCAAAGGGCAGCCGGCCAAACGAGGGGTGCAGCGGCTCTGCTCCTGCGGGGAGAGCCGCCGCGGCTAAATGGCCACATTGTCAGTGGCCGTGGCGATGAGGCTATTTTTAAACTCTCAGGGAAGTGCCTCAAAGTAGGAATTGTTCCCTGAATTTGGGTCAGACAGTCTACAAAAGCAACTGCTGCTTCTCCCCTACCCCTCCGGAGCCGGGTTAGAAAGTCGGGCTCCTGCCTGGGGGGAAGCGGGTGCCGCAAGCAGGGCTGGGAGGAGGATGAGGGTGAAGGGGTGTTTGTCGCCGTGCCACCCCAGGTCCAGGTGTGCCTGCAGCTGGCGACAAGGTGGGTGTGTTCACCTTGCTCCGCGGAGCAGGAAATGATGAGGAGCTGCTGCCTAAAGCGAGCAAATCACATCCCGCATTGTCGTACCCCGGCAAGGGCTGAATGCGCTGCCTGGAGAGAGGCTGAGGGCAGCTGGTTTCCATCTGCCTGGGCGTTCAGTCCAACAAAGAAGCCTCAAGCAGGGACTCTGTGTCTTTTGTGCAGTCAGCCAACAAGTTTTCGAGGGTTCTCGGCGTTCTCAGAGTTTTTCTGCGGTCCCTGCCTGTGCAAAGCACCTCGTGCTTGCCGCGGTTCTCCTCGGATGCTGCTGTAGGGGCTTGGGGGAGCAGAGGTTTGGGGTTTTGTGCTCAAGTGTAGCTTTTGCAGCTGGGAGTTAGATGGCTCTTCCCTGCTCTGGTTGGCTTCCAGCTCCTCTGGTCTCAAATCCCGTGTCATTGGATGAGATTTCTCCAGTAATTCCGGCTAATCTGGGGTTGTTGCCGCTGCAGAGGAATGCTTTCAGCGTGGCTTTCGACAGCGCTGTCAAAACCAGATCCTCACCTCGTGTTGGAGACAGGGATGGGGAAACTCCTTCCCAAAAATGAGCCCTAAGGAGGGAGATCCCGCGCTTGCTCTGTCTGTACGGATGCCTCTTGCCCCGGCTGGATCGATCCCGCTCCAGGGGCTCTGGGATCCCACTGGCGAGCAGGGAATGCTGCACAGCCTCCCGTGAATAGCTGCTGATCCACATAAAACCAGCCAAGCGCAAGGATCGCGAGGTGGATAGACCGGAGCAGGGGGGCTGCAAGTGCTGGGCAATGACAGGTGGAGCGGGAGCACCGCGGAGCAAGGGATTAAACGGAGCTGCTCAAAGACCAAAGGCCACTCGGTGCTGGCGGCATCCCAGCGCCTGGGAACGCCTGATCTGGCCGGGGAGGGCGGCTGCTCCTGCTGCTCCATAGCTCACATCCCCGGCGCCGCTCCCGCCCGCTAGCGGGGCCCCGCCGCGACACTTCCCAAAATCTGCGGCTCCCACACGGCCCGCCAGCTGCTCGGAGCAGCCTCAGGAGCAGCTCTTGCTGCTGCCCGGGGGTTTTACTTTCTCCTTTATTCGTAAAAGAGTGAATCTCGGCGTCAGCAGCTGCTCTTTCACAGAATAACGGGGTTGGAAGAGACCTCTGAGATCATCAAGTCCAACCTATGCCCTAACACCTCAACCAGACCATAGCACCAAGTGCCACGTCCAGTTTTTTATTAAACACATCCAGTGATGGTGATTCTACCACCTCCCTGGGAAGACACTTCCAGTACTTTACTATTCTCTCAGTGAAAAAATTTTTCCTAATATCCAACCTAAACCTTCCCTGATGTAGCTGAGGCTGTGTCCTTTTGTTCTGTCAGTGCTGCAGGTGGAATAGATCAACCCAACCTGTCTGCACCTCCTTCAGGAGCTGTGGAGAGCAATGAGGTCACCTCTAACCCTCCTCTTCTCCAGGCTGAATAACCCCAGCTCCTTCAAACGTTCCTCACAGTCCAAGCCCCTCACCACCTTGTTGCCTCCTCTGGATGCACTCAAGCATCTCAACATCCTTCTTAAACTGAGGGGCCCAGAGCTGGCTGGATAGCTCCAAGTGTCTCCCTGTGATGGGATGGAGCTGGGGTTACTCAGAGCTGCTGGGCCTCGCAGGGTGGTAGCTCCACCAGGGATGCAGAAGGTATCTCCTGCATGCCTGGGAAGGGTTCACTCCCAAATCAGCATCAGTGGAATGCCCAGGTGTAATAAACTGAGCCTCCACCTCCTGTGGTGCTGTTTGGGTCACCCTGTCTTTGGGGTGAGCAGTAACTTTAAGCACCACTCTTTTCCAAGCTCAAATCTGGGCTGTGTGACCTCCTTGTTGGGGGACAAATGCACTGAGAGCTCCTGTGGCACTGCTCTGACTGCTTGTTTCTTCCCAAATTCCAGATCTGCACTGAGCCACGGGAGTCCCTGCACGAAAACCCATCACCTTCATCTCTGCTTCTGCTGGCAGCATGAATCCTGCCCTGCCTTGGATCATTCCTCTTGGATGTGTGCTGCTGCTGACAAAGGCAGCTGAGTGCTTCATCTTGCCCAACTCGAGTCACCTGGAGAACATCCTGAGTAAATATCAGGATGGGGAAGCTCACTCCAGGTCCAAGAGAGCCATTCTATTCTCAGACAGACAGGAGATACTGATGCTCCACAACAAATTGAGAGGTCAGGTGTATCCAGTGGCCTCTAACATGGAATACATGGTGAGTCTAGAGCCTGATACATTACTTTATTACTACTTTTTTTTTTTTTTTTTTCCTAACTGTATTTAAATTTTCCTTGTGGTGCGAGAGGTGTGGTGAATTTCCTCCGAAATAAGTTTCCCTCAAGAGATTTTCTGAAGACTTTCATTCCAGAATGAAGGATGCTTTAGATCAGTGGCCTGTTTTGGTTGGAAAGGGCTGCTGATGGGTCATCCAGTCCATCCTCTGCATAGTTTCAGAACTGGTTCCATTATTCATAAAGGAGCATCTGGCCCAGCCCTGGATGCATCTCCGGTGATGGCAATTCCCCAGCCTGCCTCAGCAGGTTCTTCCATTACCTTCAAGCCATAAAAACAACATTTTTCCCCCAGTGTTTAACCCCTGCTCTCCCTGTGAAAGCTTTCAGGCTGCTGTGTGGGGACACCACAGTCTGCTCAGGGAATCCTCTGGCGGTTTTTGGGTGCTGGAGGTGGCACCTGCCCTGAGTCACACACTGATCACCTGAGCTCAGCAAAGTGAGCCAAACCTCCACGATGCTCCTGGGAATCTGTGCAGGACCACAGGGAAACGGGGCCTGAGGAATGTGGCTCCATCTGCAAAGCACTGGAAATAGCTGGAAAGGCTTTGGGAGTTCCTGGGTGGATGGGTCAGTGCTGTTGGGTTTTGTAGTTCAGGAAACCAAAATACAAGTTTCATCAATGTATCCTCCCACTTCAGAGGGAGAACTTAAAACTTGAAGGAGTATGAAATATGACTTTGCCACCAACAATTCACATTAATTATTTTTTTACCTGATACCAGAGACTCTACTTTGAGCTATTTTTGCCATGCCATCAAAATATTACAGGGCCACAAAATGATGTAGGCAAATAATTGCTTTTTGTGTGCCTTTTCCCACTGTGCAAACACAGTTCTGATCAAAACTAGTCTGACTTCAGCCGTGTGCTCCTGCTGACGGATCAAATGATGGATGACTTGTTCAGTCCGTGTTTGAAAGGGTAAAAGAAGAGTACATTTCAATGTAATATAAAATTGTTTGCCAGCTGTGCTGAAGTGAGGGCTGCGAATGGAAAATCCTGCCTTTTGTGAGTGCAGGGAGAAAGGAAAGGGAAGGGAGGGCAGGGGATGCTGAGGAAGGACAGCTGTCCCTTAGTCCGTCCACACCAGCTGGGTTTTGGTCCAGCTTTTTGCCAGAAATCCTGTGCCTTTCTAAGAACCAGGGATTGCATCCCTTTCTCAGCCTCTCTCGTGATATCCTGCAGGGAAGCACTGCCAGAAGAGGCGACTCGATGGCTTTGCAGAGGGTAAACACAAAGCATGAGCAGGCCCAAGGTGTTTGGGTTGGCCATGGGGCCGGCAGAGCCGCCGATGCCCGCGGCCCGGCCGCTGTTTGCGCTCGCGGCGCGGTTGCACTTCTGTGTTTGCCTTTGCTCTGGGAGCTTTTCTAGTGGTTTTTATGGGTGATGGAGGGCAAATGAAAGGGCCTTATGTGCTCTGAAGAAAGGAGCTGAGTATGAGATGGTGCTGCTTGGAAGGGCTATAATCAGCCTTTCATGTGCTGGTGTTTACCCAGTATGACTTGGAAATGCCGTCTATATGCTGAACGGGAATTTCTCTTTAATCCTTTGTCCTGCAGAGGACATTTCTCATTTGGACTCGTTTAAGAGGATGGTCTGTCTTTAGAACCATGGATAAACTTTCCTCTTTCCCTTTGGTGCCGGAGTGGAGCGCCACTGGAGATCTGCTGGGATAATTTGTGGATGAGTGGGTAGAGCTTGTTCTTGCCCATCAACCTCCAAATGCTCCCTTGTGCAAATCCTTTCTCCCAGCTCCATATCTGATGTATTTAAGTGGTCTAACAGGGAAATGGCACCTAATATATTCCAGGAAAGGGACATATTTAACTGCTACTGGAGGAGCTTCAGTTGTTGGACACTGTTAATAAGAAAGCAAGAGCACAGTGAGTCCTATGACTTAACTGGAGATCAAAAGAATTCTTATATACATACAGGATAAAGGCAAAGTGGACTGAAAAATGAAGAAAGAAACAGTTTAACTGCTGGATCTGTGTAATTAATTGAAAGCTGGCACAGGTATTCAGTGCTAATGGAAAACGAATGAGTAGGGCACAACTTCCTGACAAAGCTGGGCCAGTTCAAAATTACCTTAACCCCTCTACCAGCTCCATGACTGACACTTCCAGAGTGCATTTGGACTGTTTAACAGAGGTGGATGGGTGCCAAGGCCAAAACAAACTCCTTGTTAACAGTCCCAGAGTAAAAAGGACATAACGGACCCAGAGGGAAAAGGACATAATAGATCCTAAGGCATGGTGACCTTTTAAGATGGCTTAGTCAGATGCTTTCAGCAGTGATGAAAGGCAGAAATCTTTCCTCTTGCGGCGGCCTCCGAGACAGCTGGATAAAGCAAAATTGTTCTCAGTGCAGATTGCTGGAAGGAAAATAGTTTGTTTTCATGTATAAGGTATGCATCCTTCCTCTCAACTGTAGGGTGGTGGCTTTCCCTGTCAGGATGGGATAGTGTTTCTGTGGGGGTTAGCAAAAAGCATCTCCAGATCTCTGCCAGGACATGTCAGTCCTGGAGTTTGATGGCACTTTTAGAAGGAAGCTGCCAGTATTGCAGAAAGTCTGAGCTGGGGAGGAAAATGAATGAGTAACCTGATCACTGCAATTCAGGTGTCTGGCTTTGGGCTCTCAGGCTCCTTAGCCAGAGGGAGCAGACTCCTTGTGGGATGCATTATTAAATCTGGACCTACAAGTTGTGGTTTGGTGTCTGTATACCATGCATATATTTTACATGTACAGTGTCTATTCCACTTTGAAAGGCCATTAGAAATTTGCAGGAGTAAAAAAACGAGAGTCCATGTGCTAACCCACTTGGAATCACACACACCCAAAAAATTTTCAACCTCTGCTTCTGAAGGAAGCTGAGCACAGGCTTGTTGCCCTTCTGGCTTCAGTCATCTTCCTAGATGCTGCTTTGAGTATTGGCATAAAGAATTCTTGCAAGTATAGCTGGGAAAGTCTGAAATCTCTTTGTTCCCGTGATGTTTATTGCTGTGAAATAATTCCACTTTCGCATCTGAGAAACAAGAGGAAAAGAACTGCTCTAATTTAGACGGGATGGCTTTGCAATCTGATGCCTGCAGAAAGGAGCTTCTCTCCTCATGCAGCAGAAAGCCGTGCAGAGATGGAGCTGCTTCCTAATTACCTGTTAAGTGTCTTTTGTCCGAGTTCATTTATTTTATCCCTAGGCATCAAAGGGAGATACAATGCGTACGCTGGCATTAATTCCCATTTAATTACTCAGGACGTCTCTGCATTAAATTAGGAGATTTGGAACATCTCCACCTCCGGAGCTGCAGGGAATGAAGCTGGGTAGGAAGCCTGAGGAGCTCGGAGTGCAGAACATCTTGGGAGAGTTTCTGTGGCTTTTGTGCTGGATGGGAGGGCAGCTGTGGCCGGTCGCTGCTGAGCCCACAAAGTGGGAAACCACAAAAAGCTGTGTCTGGGCACTGCTGCAAGAGGCTGCCTGAACAGAGGGTTGGAGATGTGTGGTGGGTCTGATCCCATCACTTCCAAGGAGCTGGAGGGCTGGGAAGGAAAATGGTTTTGCTCCCTGTGTCAGAGCTGTGTTCACACGGGGTTTGCAGGCTGGATTTGCTTGGTCACTGCTCAGTCCAAAGCTGAGCTGCTGAGCTTGGGCAGCTCTGGGATGCTGCTGGAATCTGGGCTGCCGAGAGTGCTCCATGGTAAGCTGTTCTGGGAGGCCTGGGCTGTGAGCTCATGAGATGAGGTCATGTTTGCCTCACTGAGCTAGTGGAGACAAACCAAGTTCCAGGAGACACTGCATTTTCCTGTTGTGTTACCCAGGGATGCACAGTCCTTCCCCATCCCAGCTACAACTGCCCCAGGCTGTGTGCAGATATGCTCAGGATGATCACTGGATGGTTTGTAAGTGTGTTTGAGAGCCTGGATGCCCTGCAGCCCTCCAGGCTCTGACAGGTCCTTTGAAATGCCTGAGATCAGAAGTTGCCTTTCTTCTGGAGGAGACAGGACTTGGAAAGAGCAGCTGGTTGTGATGGTAAATGTCCAACGAGGACAGTCTCGTGCTGGCATGTGGATGGGCTGGATACACATTACAAGACCTCTCTTCTCTTTGGTTTTATTTGTAGGAATGTGCGGTAATATTTTAATCCCAACGAATTATCCTCTGAGGGCTGTTCTGAATAGAGCAGCTGTCAGTAATTACACAATGAATTCAGGGCACTAGCTGCTGGGCCCAGCGAGTCTGGCCTTTAGAACAAATACTCTCCTGGGCAGCAGAGCCAGCAGAGCTGCTTTCCTGTTTGCCTTTGTGTCATGTTGGAGCTCTCCTTTGGCTCACAACTGCGTGACATTCGATGAGGAGTGATCTCACCCCAGCATCCTGCCCTCAGTGGGAGCAGAAATGGGATTTGTCACTTCTAACATGATGCCTGCTTCAGTGAGAGTGGAAAAAGCTTAAAAAACCCTGGGACATTGCCACCTCGGATGTATTTGACTGGACCCACTGGTGGACTCTCATTTATTCTGGAAGGAGAAGGGGAGCTGAGACTGAGAGCCTCAGACTCCTTGATTAAGAGGTTGGATCAAAGATCTCCAGCTGTGTGGTGGTGGAGGTAGTGGAGCTCTCAACCACAACATCTCTCCACTGCTGGAGTTCCCCTTGGTGGGAAAGCCTGGAGACACCCCAACAGTAAGGACAATGGATGAAAAATCATACTGGAATACATCAAAGCACCGAGATACGTCAGAACCCTTGCAGGACTCAGAAATGTGTGTCATGTTGGAGATCATGGGATCTCAGAAATGTGTGTCATGTTGGAGATCATGGGATCTCAGAAATGTGTGTCATGTTGGAGATCATAGGATCTCCAACCTTGAATTTTAATTTTTAATTTTTTAGAACACACTAGAAAAACAACTGCCAAGAATATTGTGTGGTTTAGGGTGGATGGTCTGGATGTGTTCCTGAGGTCTTCCCACGTGTGTTTATGTGTTTTCTGGTGACATGAGTGAAGCATTTCCTCAGAAGCATGGCATCAGCTGGGGAAAATCATAGACACTTTAGTGCCCTGGACTTTCATGGCAGGGGAACATGTTGAGAAACGTGATTTTAGCAGAGAAACGTGGTGGCTTCACCAGAACAAGCCAGAAATTGTGGGGATGATCTGTTCCTTAGTCTTTCTCCACTAACCGCTGTTGGTTTAATCTCCTGTTCCTTAGTCTTTCTCCACTAATTGCTGCTGGTTTAATCTCCTGATCTAGCGAGTTTGAGATGAAAAGCTGACCTGTTCTTTTCTCTCCCCGCACCCTGAAGACCTGGGACGAGGAGCTGGAGCGCTCAGCACACGCTTGGGCTCAGCAGTGCATCTGGGACCATGGGCCCAGCGACCTCATCAGGTCGATTGGGCAGAACCTGGCGGTTCACTGGGGCAGGTAAGGCTTGGGGTGCCACAGGATCATTGCAAAGGGTGGTTTATGGGTCCTTCTTTAGAGACAGCTGGAAAGATTGGCTCTGGTGCTTGGTGGAGCACTGGGGAGACGGGAGAAAAGCTGGGGGACATTAATTGTCATGACTTCAGTGGGATGGTCATTGTGGCAAGTCACCTGCCACTGAGACTTCCCAAGAAACCAGAGCTGATTTGGGCTCCTCCATCCATCTGGATCTCAGGGTAGCACCTCTGGAGTGACAAAAGTCACTCCTCCTTGGGGAGAACAGCTACAGAGGTCTGAACCCTCCTAAATGTGCTGCTTCAGGGCAGGTTCTGGCATCACACACCTGAAGGCTGAAGATTCTCAGGAGCAATGTCTGGATTCAGCTCAGAATTTGTGTCTCGGTTCAGTTCAGAACTGAATTATCTCTCGCTGTGTTTTCCATAAATATTTATCTGGCTCCTGATTTTTCTTTACTGAAAACATTTTGTAGGGTTTTTTTTTTAAAATTCCTTGGACAAGCTGTTAAACTAGAGTCATTAACCCAGTTAGGAAAGCTGACATGAAGGCTTCCAAAGGGATTTTCCTTTCCATCTCAAGATGAAATTTGTTTATTGTTAAGCCCCTGTTTTTAAGCTTGTTATAGGTTAAACCTGCTTTGCACAGCAAACATTTTGTACTTGCTCAGAAGCCCTGAGCTTTTTTCCCACATTTCCTGGGTGGAAGTCCAGTTATCTTTGTTGTAAATCAGGTAGAACTTGGTGGAAAGCAAAGGAAATTTGCTGGTGTGAAATTAGCCGGATGTAAAAATTTGGCTGATTTTAATGTTTGGAAGGTAGAGTGGTTAATTCATTGGAAACAAAAATCATAATATTGTGCTGTTCTTGGCTGTCCTACAAGTGCTCAGGATGGCCATGGGTTCCTGATGGAGAAAGATCCAATCTTGGTCCCTGAGAGGAAAGAAAAATCAGATTTATCTCAGCTTTTTCAGGAACGGGCCATAACTTGATTGCCTCCATTTCCTCTCCTGTAAAATAGGATTCGGAAAGTATTTGCTTCATGACATCATGAGATGGATGTTTTTAAAATACTTCTAATGAGTGATTTTTAATGAAAAGTTGGCTGAAAGGATAAGCTCCAGTTGGTAATGATATCATTTGGAATTCTGGCAGCTTGCTTCGTACGAGCTGTTGAAAGCAATCAAAAAGCAGTGGGTTTGGTACTGTTTGCAGATCTGTTTGCTCACTGTGTGTAAAGTGTGTGTGAGTTTCTACAGGCAGTTTTGACACTGTTTGTGCTCCCCCAAACAGCACAAGCAGCATCAGCACTGCCTCAGATTGTGGTACTGAGGCAGAGGTTAAACACAGGGTACAGGGGAAAATTGCTGCCAAAATGATGTAGGATAGGAGTGCAGTGCACCAGCTACTCCACACCAGCTCCTGGTGGGATGTGAGTGAGGAAAAGCCCACTCACTTTCAGAGATCTTACAGTCTGGCTGCGAGTTAACTTCCAGATTTAACAAATTGCCCCGTGGTAAAATAGGTACATGATGGCTTTTGGTTTAAGATGTTTGGCAAAGCCTAACATCTGTTTACTTTCAAAACAAAACTTTCTGCCAAACTAGAAGTTATTTTGTAGTTGAGTTGAAAAGTGAGAGGGCGTTTCAGGTCGGCAGCACTTGAGGATCTTGTCAAACCTATAAATAATAGAGTCAGGTCAGGCTGTGAATCTGAGGGAAAAAATCATAGAAACACACAACGGTTTGGGTTGGAAGGGACCTCAAAGATCTTTCCAGTTCCAACTCCCCTGCCATGGGCAGGAACACCGTCCACTGTCCCAGGCTGCTCCAAGCCCTGTCCAGCCTGGCCTGGGACATTCCAGGGATCCAGGGGCAGCCACAGCTGCTCTGGGCACCTGTGCCAGGGCCTGCCCACCCTCCCAGGGAACAATTCCTTCCCAAATCCCATCTAACCCATCATCTTTAACATTTTAAAACCAATTTGAAAACTTCTACCAGAGCATCCTGATTCCAGCTGCCTTTCCCCCGCCCAGGTATCGATCTCCAGCGTTCCACGTGCAGTCCTGGTATGATGAAGTGAAAGATTACACGTTCCCATACCCCCACGAGTGCAACCCGTGGTGCCCAGAGAGGTGTACAGGTGCCATGTGCACACATTACACCCAGGTAAAGGACTCCAAGGGGTCTGTACCCACACTCCCCACACCCCCCCATGTCTGGATCGGGGTAATTTGGTGATTGGCAATAACTGCATTTCCCTTACAGATAGTCTGGGCCACGACCAACAGGATTGGCTGTGCTGTGAATGTCTGCAAGCAGATGAATGTGTGGGGAGAGATCTGGGAGAACGCTGTCTACCTAGTCTGCAACTACTCCCCCAAGTAAGGCAGAGCAGCTGGGCTCTCTCCAGCTCTCCCAAAACTGGCAGAGTGCTTACCTAGCTCTGGGGAAGAGATTTCGGGCAGTCTAGACTGGTGGTTGTGGCTTTAAATTTTTTCTTTAGACAGCAGCGCAGGGCTGGTTCAAAACTACAGAGCCTGGAAAACTGAATGAGAGGCTGGGGCCAGGCTGGAGCTTTGATGTTCCTGCCACGGGAAGGGAAAGGAGGAGCAGGAGATGGCCGGGATGGAGCTGGCGTGTGCTGCTGAGCAAGGCTTGCTCTCTGCTGTCAGAGGGTGGGAAGGGATGGGGTGGTGGTGAATGCCAAAAAAACCCTGAAATAACTGCAGCAGTCAAGATTTCACTAGCTCGACGGTTTGATTAAATTTCAAAATGAAAATCATATTTCTTGCCTACTACATCCAGGAGAAGTTTACGACCTGGCAATGGCAGTTAAGATTTTCTGGTTTAATGGCTAATAGGAGAAACATTCTCACTCCAAGCCCTTGGCAATTTAAAACTTCAAAACAAAATAAAATAGGGAAATCGCTCTATGCAAAAGGAGTGGCTTGGGGAGCACCTGACTTCAGGGGATCACAGTGCAGAATAATGCAAAGGAAAAAGAAATGTGGGGCTGCAGCTGTCGTGTCCCAGGCAGAGCTCTCTGGGTGGGTTCTCTAAGCCCCTCTCCCCACGTCAGATGAGCACATTTTGCTCCTGGTTTGGGTGGATTTAACAACCTGCTCCTCCTGAGGAATAACAGCATGCATCTCCCACAGAGCCCCCACAGCAGGCTGGGAGATTTACACATCATCCATTCAGAGCTGCTGGATGGAAAAACACTCTATTTCTGCAGTTTCTGCTTAATCTTTTCTCTCTGGCATCGGTGCACATTGTCCTCATGTAGCCTTATAGGTGGAGACAGCTGAAAGAGCATAACCCAGGAGTTTATAGCACAGCTTAACTCCGGCTCCTTCAACTTCCCCATCCCCTAAAACTTGCAGGAGAGAAAGCCAAAACTAGCTGTTGTTTCTGGGGAGTTTCTCCAGCAAAATCCAGTAATCCATTTATTTATTTCTGTTTATATAAGACCCAGGTGTTTATATTGGAATGTAATTTAAAAGCGATACGGCACACGATTTAAGCAAACCCCTAAAAAAATGTCATTTTAGAGATGGAGCGAGGAGGAGCATCTTTCCTACATGGCTGGTTGTTTAGTCTTTATTTAGTTGCTCGAGGCCAGGATGATGTTTCTGGGTTTGGAGGCTTGGAAGGGTGTTTGTGTGTCTGATGGGTGCTCATTTCTCCTGTGCTCCCAGGGGCAACTGGATCGGAGAAGCTCCGTACAAGACCGGCCGTCCCTGCTCCGAGTGCCCGCCGAGCTACGGGGGGAGCTGCCAGAACAACCTCTGCTACAAAGGTACCTGCTGGGGGCTTGGGCACCTCTGGGGTGGGGGACAAGGCTGGAGCAAACATCTGGAAGCTTCTAATTGGAGCCAGCCACGGCTTCGTGCCCCTTTTAATTAGCTATCCTCAATATCCCAACGTTGGGACACGTGGGAAATCGTCAGCCACTGGAAGCAAGAATCCCTGAGCTGCTGAAAATCTGGGGCTGGGATTCAGCACGTTTTCCTGGGGAAAACAGAGAGCTTGGATGGGGAGAAGCAGCTCTGAGCTTCCATGGGTTTGGCCCGGGAGCTGCAGGGGGTTTTGAGCGCCGGCGGGTTGCGGGCAGGAGCGATCCCATCCTGGTGGGGTTTTCTGGGGAAGGGAATGTTCTCCAGAGCCTGGCAGAGGCATCGTGGGTGGGCAGAGCTTGGCCACCTGCCCTGCTCCTTCAGGGGCCACAGATGGAACCCCTGCTCCCTCCCCACCTTTCAGGGTGGGGGATTCAAGGAATGGTTTTCAGGGATGCAAAATGAGCGTAGCCATTTGTGTCCCTTGGAGGAGAGGAGGGGGATCCTGAAGGTTTTTTCCTGATCTGTGGAAAGTTTTAGGAAGAAAGGCCAATAGGATGAAATGTATTATTAGGGTGAGCCCTCCAGTGCAGCAGTGCTACCCCCAGCATCCAGGATCTCCTGGGGTCATTTCTCTCCTCCCAAGAGTTTTGCTTCCCAGAGGGCTGGGCTCTTTGAAAACAGGGAGATTCCCTGGAGACTTGCCCAGGATGCAGAGGCTTATTTTGCTGCCACCATGCATTTCTCATTTTTTATCTTGTGGGGTTTGATGGAGGACCTCAGGGTGCAGGTGGGAGAAAGGAGGGAATATGAGCCCTTCAGCAAATTTATTTTCCACCAGAGGGAAGAGCTCAGTGGGAAACAGAGGAAGGAATATCAGCTCCTTTTTTCACTAATTAGTGGGGATCCCTTCAAATCTTTATTGTGAGATGCTGTAAATGCTGCTTCATGTGCAGGGGAGCAGGAGTGTCCTGGCAATATCCCTGTGCTGCCTCCAATGGGCATTTTTGATCTCCCAGCTGTTCAAAAGGAGATCCTTGTCCAGCTAATCATCCCCACCAAACATGAACCTGATTTGCCCACCAGTGTGAGCACGCTGTGATACGTTTTTAATCTCCTCTTCTACCAAGATCACCGTTATGAAGATCCCATCCTTGCCGAGACAGACGAGACCAACGAGGTGGAGATTCCGCAGGTGGCGGAGCAGAAGCCGGTGCAGTTCCACCTTCCAGAAAACAAACCCAGCAAAACCATCAAGTCCAAGAAAATCACCCCAGAATCCTACATGAGTAAGGCACAGCCTTTCTCTTTTTCAGCCCCTATGGGTTTTGAAGCACCTCTGTGGGGAAAGGTGTGGGAAGTGATGAGGAGGCTCTGGGATGAAGAAACTGGGAAGATGTTTGAGAGGAGGAAAGGTGATCTCTGTGAAAATTCACTGTGTGAAAATTTCAGTTGTGCAGAAAGCTGCTAGAAGTGGTGAGCAAAGCTCTCAAAAACAGCCTGTACCTTCTGCACATCGATCTGCAAAGGTTCTGTGCTTGTTTCAGTCACTTCATAGAATCCCACCAATGGTTTGGTTTGGAAGGGACCTCAAAGCTCATCCAATCCCACCCCTGCCATGGCAGAGACACTTCCACTCTCCCAGGGTGCTCCAAGTCCCAGTGTCCAACCTGGACATTTCAGGGATGCAGGAGCAGCCACAGCTTCTCTGGGCACCTGTGCCAGGGCCTGCCCACCCTCCCAGGGAGGAATCCCTTCCCAAAATCCCATCTAAATGCACCCTCTGGCAGTGGGAGCCATTCCCTGTGTCCCATCCCTCCATCCTTGTCCCCAGTCCCTCTCCAGCTCTCCTGGAGCCCCTTCAGGCCCTGGCAGGGCTCTGAGCTCTCCCTGGAGCTGCTCCTCTCCAGGTGGGCACCCCCAGCTCTGCCAGCCTGGCTCCAGCTCTCAGAGCATCTCCGTGACCTCCTCTGACTGACTCCAGCAGTCCATGTCCTCCTTATCTCAATTAAATATCAAAAGTCCCCTTAATCAGTAATAAATTTAGGAAATACTGGTTTTATTTCTCCTTTAAAAAGCTCTATACTCAGCGCTTACCCTTCTTCACAGCTTTTCTGGGGTTTATGGCTCGTTTCCTCCTTATTTCTTGCTCAGGAATATTTCTGAAGTTATTTGTGGAGCTGCTGGTACTTCCTGAGTTGTTTTCCAACCGCTGTTAATTAAAAGACACTTATTGAGAAAACAAGGTGGGGCAAGCCAGCGGGTCCTTTTCAAGTTTATCTGCCAGCATCTGGAGAGTCTATAATTAAAAGGAGAATGAGAGCTCTGACTGCAGACCTCGGGCTGTAAATCAAAGCCTTCAGCTGTCAGCTGCATCTTCCTGGCTAATATTCCAAAGACACCTGTCTCAGGTGAAGGGCTAAAGAGGCACCAGCTGCTCCAGGCTGGATAAAATCAGATTTTATCTTGCTGCACCAAAGGCCTCCAGGAAAGATGTCTGGAGGTTACTCATTGCTTTAGCTCAAGAGCAGGCTGAGCAATTTCCTTTTAAAAAAAATGTATTTATTAGATTTTTTTTTTTCTCCCCAGCACAAGTCATTACCTGTGAAACCAAGATGAGAGACAAGTGCAGAGGCTCAACGTGCAACAGGTAGGATTTTGTTGATACTTCTTGGAGTGCTGAGGGAAAAAGTAAACAAATGTTTACTTTTTATTATTCAATATTTTAAATAAATATTTATGTTTTACTGCTAAATATTATTCAGTTCTTGCAAACACAGGATAGGTTGCATTATATATTTTTGGGGCCCCCCGGGTAGATCTCTTTGGGAAAAGCTCCAAAACCCAACAAAAAATCCCCAAAATTTCTATTAATTCAAGCCTTCAGCCAAGCCTGGCAATAAGGTGATTTGGATGATTTTATTCAGCCATGATAACCCAGAGTTTCAGGTGTCCAAAATAATTTAATACATTTCAGCAGAGTCATTTTTCGAGCCTTTTTCATGCATTCCACTGCTGTCCAAGCCAGACCAATAATTCATGACTTATCCCTCCCAGCCAGTCAAGAACTTCTGGTTAAGGTTTCTGCAGAGAACAGGACAGTTTATCACTTGGAGAAAAACCAAATCCACAGAACCTAAATATTGGTCAGGCTCTTAAGGAGGGTGGAGCAACTGTTTTAAAAAAGTAGCTGTTTTGCAATCTTGTTTTTAAAACGGGAGAACTATGTGAAATGAATGGAATGGCTATTAAATGAAATAGAGTCAAAGTCTGTTTTTCTTGAATTGTTTTTCGCCACCCTCAAAGATAAATATCTTTCCTAGGTATTTGTGCCCAGCTGGCTGCTTGTACAGTAAGGGAAAGATCTTTGGAACATTTTATTACGAAAGTGTAAGTACCTTTTAATAACTCCTGGATGTAATTTGTGGGAGTCAGTGGGAATGACAGAAATGGGAAATGCCAGCCATTCTGGTGTAATTTGGCTTTTCATGTTCCCTGGCTGTGCTGCTGTAAAATGGTGCTAATAAAGGTTATCTGCATTTTCCTCATCTTGGTGTGGAAAAAAAGGGACAGACTCTGGGAAGGCAAAGTGGTTCCAGACGTGATTTTGTCAGGAATTAATGAGGACACCCAAGGAAAGTGAGAGATAAGCTCCTACAAACATCTCTTTACTCCTGTGGGCAGCTCTCATCTGAACAGAGACTTTATATAAAAAAAAAAAAACACTGTTAAATTTTGTAACTAAATAATATTTTGGGCTGATTTGCTTGATCTTAAATTAGTAAAATAATTTGTAAATAAAGCATGGTACCATTTTCCCATCAAAACTACTTTTTGGGGTGAAGGGAGTTGGAAGATAAAAAGGTTTTTCTGGGTAAAATCAGGTTTTCTTTCCCTGTTCCAAGTGTTGGTGCGTGACTGCATCACTCCTGATGTGTCTTTGCCCTGGAAATTCTGTAATTGCAGACACCCAACCCCTCCAAGTGGCGTCAGCAGAAATATTTTGGGTTTGAATATTTTGTCGAGAACTGGAAACATTTCAGACTGGTCTCTCACTTCCAACGCTGCTTTTCCTCTAAATTGTATTTAAATGTATGGTTTTGTTATTGAAAAAAAAAGCTTGCCGTTCAACCAGGCAGTGCTTAAAATAATAGTAATAAAAGAATCTGTATTGGGAGAGGAAGATTTAACAACCAGATTCCAAAGGAGTGTGCTCAGCTTATTTTCCACTTGGTGCTCTGGTGGTGGTTTCATTTCTTCTCTGTTTTTCACGTAGCACTTGGGCAGCGTTGCTCTGTGAGTTTTATCTGATTTATTTCCCACCCCATCTATTTATCTCCCGTCAGTCCTCCAGCATATGTCGTGCTGCAATCCATTATGGAATCCTGGACAACAAAGGAGGGCTGGTGGATATCACGAGGAGAGGGAGGACACCTGCTTTTGTGAAGTCCACCAGGAACGGTGTGGAGTCATTCAGGTACTGCCCTCACCAAAATCTGTTGGTATCAGCTTTAAATACAAGCAGATGTTCAGTCATCTTTGTTGCTCTCATGTAGACACAACTGTCCAAATAATTCTACTCTGCTTATTTTTTTTAATAGTTTTTTTGTTTGTTTGTTTGCTTGTTTTACAGGAAAAGCAAACCTTCAAATGCATTCATGGTTTCCAAAGTCACAAGTAAGTTTTAAATGTTGAGGGGAAAATATATTGTTGCTGGGGTTTTGTGGGGTACTTGAAAACATCATTCCTTTCGGGGCTCTTTTTCATTTTCAGTGGCTGTGTCAAATGGTTCTGTGCCACAGCCAAGCCCTGGAGTGGTGGTCTAGGGTGATCAGAGCCTTAGAGTGACTGCCCACCCACCGTGGGCAATTCCACCATCACCCACCTCATTTTCCTGGGGGCATCTAAGAGGAAGGTAGAGAAACAGGTGAAAATGGGCCAATTCCAGCAGCATCTCCTGCTGATGGATCATGGTGGCGTCCAGACTTCAGCTGCTGATAGTGGAGGGATGGGAGTTGAGCCATCCATCTCTGAAAGGCTCAGTCAAGTGTCAACACTTACAAAAAAAGAAAAAAATATAGTGGCTAATGTCCTAGTGCAGTAATGTAATGAAAAACACAATACATGTGAAATTAGTTTTTAACACTGAGTCATCACATTTCTGATGGGCATTTAAATAAACACTGCTCTACTTTTTAAACAATTTCCACTTTCTGAATATCTTTGAAAAATTCCTCCAACACAGAATCGTCCTTTTGATTAGATCCACCTGAGAACTGTAGGTGTCAGGATATTTGGGCTCCACATCTGGAGCTGTAGCAAACCCACGTGCTGTGGATCAGCTGCTTGTCTCTTTTGAAAGCTGTGACATTTTAAGGCCACTCTGTAGTGTGGTTGTAGGATTCCTGCTGGAGAGCTGGCCAGCCCATCCTGGGATCCTGCTGCTCTCAGTTGGACAAGGGTCTCACCAAATGCATTGTGTGGCTCTGACTTGTGTTTTCTGCAGCAGACTGAGATTTTGGGTCTAATAATTTGCCTTTCCATGTTTATCTTGGCAGCACAGACTCTGGATTGTTACACCACAGTAGCTGAACTGTGCCACTTCAAAAAGCCAGCGAGCCACTGCCCAAGGTAGCACAAATCTGTTGGGTTTAAAACCTCTGTCCCAAGGGAGGGGCATCTTAACAGAGGTGCTGAGGCCCCTGAATTTGAGGGCTGGTGGGAGAAGGGCTGATCATACTGGTTGAACTGGAGGAGGGAGCTGGGAATGACGTGTTTCCCCCTGTCCCCATGCTTTTCTTGGCATCACTGTAGAAAATTCACTTTATGTTTTTGGATGGCTTCAGTTACGTATCAGCCAGACTGCACAATCCTGTCCCAGCACACTCTCACCTTTGAGCACACTCTTTGTTTTTTACTTCTGCATTTTCTGGGTTTTGGATGTGGTTTTCCTTTCCACCTTAAAACATGGAGGAAATTTGTTCTGGAAACTGTGCAGGAGTAAGTGATAGGGCAGGGGGGCAGAAACACTTGCAGAGATTTATGTGCACAGAATTGACCAAAAATACAGATGGTACCCCTTGAAAGGGCCATAAAAGCCCAATCCCTCTTCTACTGGTCCAAACCCCTCTATCTGCAGTTCTGCAGCAACAACCAAATGTCATCTGAGGGGAGCAAATAATCAAATTCACTGTTGTCACCTGCAGACCAGATGCAGGCACTTGAAATCTCCCAGGAATGCAGCTCACCTTCCTGTCCAGCCCTGCTCTGGAGAATAAATCTGAATACATTGTTTTCCAGGATTTACTGCCCAGCCCACTGTAAGGACGAGCCGTCGTACTGGGCGCCGGTGTTTGGCACCAACGTTTACGCGGATGTGAGTACAAACCTCTCCCTGCGTGTCCTGGCTCTCCTGTCCCAGAGCTGGGCTCACTCTGGGGTTTAAGGGGAGAAATTCAATCTATCTTGTGGTTATTCCACATGGGAATGGGTAAAAGATGGGCTTGGGGAGCCCTTTTGGTCTCCAACACTGATTTATTCTGAAGGATTTGGGTGTGTCACTCCACAACTCCTTGAGTTGTGGCCACTGGGTTTGGTGTCCCCATCCACTCTCCAGCACTGACTCCTTCCTAGAGATTTGGTCCTGTCCATTAACCCCCCCAAGCCTCTGGGCTCTGGCTGTGAAATAATGGCTGTGCTCATTTACCTTTGTAAAGCATTTTGGGATTTATAGATGAGCACCAAAGGGCGTTTATTCCATCCTGTCACACTACAGAATTGACAGAAAAAGACCTCTCTTGCTTTTCCTCCTCTTTCTGGGAGATGAGCAGCTTCTGAGCAGCCAGGACAGAGCACAGAGCAGTGGAAAGAAAGAAAGTGTGTGAGCTGGTTTTATGGGTTTGTTTTTCTGAGCTTTGCTCAAGGGGATGAGCAGAGACTTGATGCTAAAACTAGGCAGAGTAATTTTCTTGAAATCTCTTAGTATTAGGCCTCTAAAAACTGGTTCTCAATGCTTTTCTATTTGTGGGTGTCTGGTTATTTTGGTTTCTTTCCTCATTTTGTGTTTTCCATCGGGGGCTGTGTTCAGGAATGCCAGCTCCCTGGTTGCCCTGTAGCCTGCAGGATTATGGCTTTGAAAGCCTGGGAAAAGCAGTCAGCAGATTGTGGAGCCCTGGCTTCAGGTCACCGTGGAGCTCCGCAGACTGCTGAAGAAAATCCATCCTGCAGGAATCATACAGTAGTTTGGAGAAGCAATTTTGAAAGCAGTTTAAAAAACAAAACAAAAACCCACACTATTTTTAATTTTGTTCCAGACCAATTTTTTTGAAGGTAGAGCTGCGCAAACAGGTTATCCTGGACTAGCTCACAGGCAATTCCATGGGGCAGCTGCCTCCCTGCAGTACCTGCCTCCTGCATGCTCCCACCTGCAGGAAATGGGAAATAGTTTTCTCTTTTTTACAGAGGACAAACCTCCCTCAGATCACCCCTGTGATTACAAAGGAATTAGGTGAGGAGCAGCATCCCAGGCTGGCATTGCACTGACGCAAAAGGATTAGTGTCCTGTAATGAACCCATTTCCTACTGTCCCTCCTGGGTATTGTTTCATAAACAGGGGCATGGATGGTGGAGAAAAACAAAAAGCAATAGCAATAAAAAAGCATTTGGCCCCTTTCTCGGGGGTTTGGTTAACCTTTTTTTGGGCTACTGTGCTAGCAGGGCGATGTGGAGGTGCCAGGAACGCATTGAGGTTGGTGGCAAAGCAGGTGAAACAAAGAATTTGGGGTGACTCTGAGTGGCACTGCAAAGGGAGAGGTGGGGATGCTGGGAATGCTCAGAATGGGAAGTTGAGAAGAGAAATGACCACACCACTCAGGATAATTTGGGGAAAGATTTCTCCCAGGGAGAAAGGCCCATGCAGGGTATGTGGCAGGCATGTTCTTCTCTCTCTCAGGATATTTTCATAGAGGAGAACAGAGGGAAGAAAGAGAAAACAATTTCTATTTATGCTCCTTGTTTTTCCCATGTAGGTGATTTTTCCCTTGGGGTGATTACTTGATTAGATTCTAGTGAAGATTGTTTGAGCCTAATGGCCAATCAGCTCCACCTGTATCTAGACTCTTGCAAGAGGGTCACTAGTTGTTAGTTAGATATAGTAATTTAAAAAAGTAAGTATATAGTTTTAGTATCTCTTTTAAATAGTATATTAATGTATTATGGCTATGATAAAGAAATCATTCAACCTTCTAAAAAAATAAATCCTAAAAAAAACCCCATAACTGCCACAAGGGTGCTGGGAATTAACCCAAGCCCACTGCCTAGGAATAATTAAAGGAAGCAATGAGCTGGATGAGACAAGTGCTGGTCTTCTGGGAGGGCTTTGGGATCCAACTTCATGTCTTGTGTGGCACCTTCATGGCCCTAGGGCACCTGGGCTCCACATGAGTTTCCTTAAATAAGCTGTCTAAAAGACAAAGAAGCATTTAGCCCCATTTCCAGTCTGCACTTTGCTGTAAAAAGCAGTTCAGGGGATTGTTCATGGGGAAATTAGTAAGACTGTGGAACAGGGATGTAGAAGAGACTTGGATTTTGGGGTAAATGAATAAAATGCAAGAATTATGTGATGGTAAAAGTGGACAGGCCTAGTTCTGTGATGATCATAGAGCCATGGAATGGTTTGGATTGGAAAGGACTTCAAAGCTCATCCAGTTCCACCCCCTGCCAAGGACAGGGACATTTTCCATAGACTGGGGTGCTCCAAGCCCTGTCCAACCTGGCCTTGATGCTGGAGCTGTGGGAACAGCCAGGGATCTTTATGAAGGTTGTAAAAGAGCTTTTGACTTCCATGAGACTCTGTCATTTGTCACTCTGCCTGGCTCCTGGTGTGACAGAATCCTGCAGGGGAAACCCATCCCCATCCCTGCCCAGGAGCCCTGTGGAGCCAGGAAAAAGCAACTTCCCCACCTTTGAGATAAGGTTTTACCCACAGTTGTGCAGTGATGGATGGATGGATGGATGGATGGATGGATGGATGGATGGATGGATGGATGGCCTGCACAGAGGCAGGAGTTTGTCACCAGAGCAAATTGAGTTGGGAGTCAGCTCCCAGGAGATCTGAACTTAGTGATTAAACCAGCCACACTAATGAGGAAATTCTGGGTGATTAAGTTCATAGTCAGACAATACTGTTAATGACACACTACAAAGTGTGTTGTCATTTTATGATGTGTGCCCTGAGGCTTGTTTCATCAAGAATTGGTCTCAGAGCATCCCTAGGGGCTTCACTGTGGAAAAGTGTTGTATTGTCCACACTGCTGTACTCCTGGACCTGGAAGGGAAGGCTTTATTCTTGTAATAGCCCATCTTCCAAAAGCTCTGAAATCAATTAATCAAAGCACAGCCCAGCCGGGAACATGAGAGGGCTGCAATCCAACAGAGTGATAAGAGGAGGTTTGAGGTAAATCTGTTGGTCAAAGCTTTGAGTGAGCGTCGGAACAGCAAGTCCTGGAAAAAAAAAAAAAAAACAGGAATGCTTTGAAAAGAACATTGTTCAGGACATCTCCCAGCGGAGAATGTTGCAAATTGATCCAGGACAGTTTAATTTTATGAGCCAGATTTAGATTTATAGATTTCCCACCACACATTAGGGAAAATTCACTGCATATCTTCCAAACACAGCATTCCCTTGCTCCCTTGACCATATATAGAAGAAAAATACCAAACTGGCACTCCAAACTCTGAGGGCTGCCAAGAGATAGGCCATCCAAAGTGATAAATATATAGGGGACAAGGCAGAGCTGCCATATATGGCTGTGGCAGGGGAGCAGCATGGGCTGTATCGTACGTATGCAAGGGGAACTTGGCACTGGTTTTGTGGTACTTGGATTTTTAGCAATCGGGGCATTTCTGGGGTTGGGATTTTCACCTGCTGCAGTTTGCTGAGCAGAGTTGGTTTTTCCTTTCTGTTCTTCCAGCTTGCTGTGTGTAAACCTTGCAGAGAGCTGATGGCCAAGTTTACACTATCCCTCAGCCTTCTCAGCTTTTGCTCCCTTTTCCTGGATGCTTTGGGGGCTTAGTCATCAGTTGTTACTGGTTTGTGTTCCTCCAGCTCTTCTGACTCTGCACATCTGGGATGTGCAATTGAGAAACTTCAATCTTTCCAGAAGTGTAATCTCCCTCCACATTTGGTGGTGTTTCATGAGGTAAAGCCCATCCAAAAACTACACCAGACAAAGGGGACAGCCCTTCTGTCTTTCCTAGAAAGAAGGATGCGAAGTGTCCCAGATAATTAGTGATCATTTACCATAATTCAGGAGAAGCATTTCCTTTCCAAGCAACTTTGGAAAACCCCAAAAAAAGTTATTAACCTGTGCTGTCAGTAACACAGAGTTTCACCTCGGAGGTTTCTCTGGTGCAGTCCCAATAGGCACTGGGTGGAAAGTTGTCCTCAATTCAGTCTTGGCCCTGGATAAGATGAAGTGTGGCTTTAGACTGGACATTGGGAAGGAATTGTTCCTTGGCAGGGTGGTCAGGTCCTGGCACAGGTGCCCAGAGCAGCTGTGGCTGTCCCTGGATCCCTGGAGGTGTCCAAGGCCAGGCTGGACAGGGCTTGGAGCAACCTAGGACAGTGGAAGGTGTCCCTGCCCATGGCAGGGGTGGCACTGGAAAGATCTTTGAGATCCCTTCCAACCCAAACCATTCTGTGATTCTGTGATGAACTCACAGGTGCAGCTCCAGCTCAGAATGATGGAAAATCTGCTTGCTCTCTGTGGTGATGGTGCATCTTCTTTCATCCAGGGATTATGTCACACCTGCAAGATCTAGTCCATAGTTTGTCCAAAAGAAGGACAAAACTGTTTCATAATTGTTTCTTTGTCTATTCCCTGTTTCTCTTGGTGTTGATGGAATTGCTAAGTCTTCATATATAAAATACAGACAGCGCATAAGTCAAAATAATTAAATATTTTTCAGAGCTCCAGTATCTGCAAAACTGCAGTGCACGCAGGGGTCATTTCAGATGAGAGAGGAGGCTTTGTGGACGTGATGCCTGTAGAAAAGAAGAAAACCTACGTTGGCTCCTTAAGGAACGGCGTCCAGTCAGAGAGGTGGGATTTCCTTCCTTTGCACTTCCCTCTCCTTTTCCACAGCGGGTTCAGCTGCCTGGGAGAGTCAGCAGGGATCAGCTCGACAGGCTGGTGGCTTCCCAGTGCCACTGTGAGCTGTGACACCCAAACAAATGGAACGTGTTGTCCTGCTCTTCCCTTCTCCCAGCCCGGAGCTGCGCTCAGGCTGCTGAAATGTTGTCAAACCCTGTTAGATTTCTTACAGCACAAGCCCATGGGAATCCATTTTGCTGTGTGTTTAACACATCAGGAGATAAGCACAGGTATTTTCAGTTTTCAGCCCGGGTCATGATTTGGGGTTTGTAATTTGGATTTCCATTCTGTTCTGGAGTGTGAGACTCATTTTTATTTATTGATTCATGTCCTCTATTCTCTTTGAAATAAGTAAATTAAACCCTTGAAACATGATCAAACACTTTTTGAAGATGAATTTGCCACCCTTGAAGGTTTTTTTTGGTAATTTCTCTTGGGCCAACCATGCAGGTTTCGGTGACCAGTTGCAAATCTGTTCTTCCAACATCCTTCACCTCCTCAAGATCACAATCCAGTCACAGCTCATCCAGTCCTTCCTAATTTGAGACTTCTCTTTCAATCAGTTATGTATTTTTTTCAGATATTGGTGTGATGGCACTCATTTCTCAGGGCTATCTTCACAAGAATAGAATTTCCCACACTTAGGGGGGTTTTTGGTCACTGCTAACTCTGCTCTGTGCAAATCTTATTTTTTAAAGATTATAAGGAATTCTATCAAGTTTGCTGGTTTTGTTCTAATAATGGATATTCCAGCATGCTTTAGAGCATCTCAAGAAAGGAAAGCTATAGCTGTTAAGTATGGGGGTTTTAATATAGATTAAAGGATCAGTATTTTCCAATTGGATAACCTGCATTTAGGTGAAAAACCTCCTGTTCCTTTGTTTTGTTTTGTTTTGTTTTCTATCTCAGACTTGCTTTCACTTATATTTTATACTAAAAGACAACTTTTTATTGGGATGGCAAACTGTGCCCTAGTTAAGAATAAATCCCACAACTCTCAGGGATGTGCAATGTGAGCAGCCAGTGCTGATCTGAGGGGTGAGGGAAACCAGAAACCTTCTCACAGCAGAGATGAAGATTTGGAAAATGTTATTTACACTCTGCAGTAAGGAGCAGCTCCATGCTGTGAGATCCACCAGGCAGTGAAAGAGCTTTTCCAAGACTAAGGTGAACCTGTACCCTTTAGGACATTGGAAATAACCTTGGGTAAAGATACACACCCAAACAGGTATGGGAAAAGATTGCCTTGAGGATTTACTAGGTCCTCACTCATGTTGCAATGTGATTTTTGGGAGAAGATGAAATTTTATATTTTTCCTGGTTTTTTTCAGTGCTGTAGGACTTGGGAATAGAAACATCCCCTTTCCCCTGCACACAGCCACCCCAAGCAGCTTGGAGTCTGCAGATAGAAAAGGAATATCCACATTTATTGTCATTTAACATGGGCTGATCTGGCCATTCCCACTCCCAGCACTAGGAGCCCAGCAAGACAGGCCCTGGGAACCTGCCAACTTATCTGACAACTGTTTTTTAAGGAAAACATATTCCTCTTTATGCCTGAATCTCTGCACGAGGGAGCACAGTGTTCCTTGGATAAAAGCAAGGATTGTAAGAGAGTCTGTTGTCTTCCAGCTCCTTTTCTTGGCATTAGCACTACAGATTTGGATTGAAAATGTAAAAAAAAAAGGTGCAACCATGGATTTGTGCCACTTCTTTTTCATCCTTTATCTTCCTCCTACTCCTGGTAGGAAAGAGATAGAAGCAATTCAGAGCTGCCTGTTTGGGTTCTGCGGTGTCTTCACTCGGTTCATCCCATGTTTGTTTTCTTTTCCTCTTTTCTTTGTCTCCAGCTTGAAGAATCCTTCAGATGGGAACGCCTTCCGAATCTTTGCTGTGAAGCAGTAAACCCCCAGGGAAGGTGCAGGTTTCTTTGGGAGAGCTCTCTCTGCTGATCTCCAGAGATGCCAAAGCTCCTCTGAACGGCATCAGCTCTGCCCGTACCCTCCTCGCCGATCTCCTTCAGGGAATTCCAAAAGAAAAGGGGGGAAAAAAAAAACCAAACCAAAAAACCCCAAAAAAAGACCCCAGGTTCTGACTCAGCTGTTGGCATCTCATCGCACCCGTGCAGCGTTGTATCTTTTTGTCTCGTGTCTTTGTTTCTCTAGGGGCATTCAGCGACCATAAACTGTTCTAAGTTTCATTTTACCAGAGGTGTTGCTACGCAGGATGGCAGTGGCTCCATGAGCAGCAGATTCAGGGATCTCAGCCTGGCCCTGGATGGTGTTTTTAGGGTGTGAAGCTTCTCCTGAGATGGGTGTGAGGATGAGCAGACTCGGGAGTGAGCGGCTGTCCAGCCGCTGGACACTTTGAAATGAGAAACTCATTGAAAAATTGCATAGTTGGGGGAGAGGATGGGCTTTGACAGAGTGATTTTGTGTATGTTGCAAAAAAATGTTGGTTTCTGTGCAAAAAAAGGATAAAAAGTGGTGTTTTCCCACTGAGGTGACGTGCAGCAGCACTGCTGTGTGAGGCTGCTGGGTACCTCGAATGATGGGGTTTGGGGATGTTCTTGGCAGCCAAAATTGAGGTTTTGTGGGCCTGGAGCAGGGTGTAAAAAGGTGGCAGAGATCCTCCCTGCAGAAAATGAGGCCACCAGTTCATCCAAAGAGCAGGTTTGGTGTTTGCTGGTCAAACACTCCCAGGTATTTTGCAAGTCTGGCAATCTCTGAGCAGTCAGAGAATTGGGGCTCCTGTGCTGGCACATCTCATCCTATACTCCATGCCATAATTCAGTTAAAGGCAGTGTATTGGTTTATACAGCAGTGCTGGTTGTTTTATAGTAGTTGAGTAGCGAAAAAAATAATCTTATTTCTGCTAGGAATGGTTGCATCTGTAAAAAGCAGGTTCACTTTCCCTTTGTGAAGCTCCTCGTGGTGTGTGCAGTTTTGAGACTTTAAAGATGCAGCATAAATTGGGGTAATTATTTTTTCCAGGAATTTCCAATTGTGAAGACCAATAGATCCCCACTTTCATTGCAAATGCTGTACCCATGAGCATTTGATATCCAGGATGGTAGGTTTTGCAAAACTCATAAGGTGTTGTAATGGTGTTAATTCCATATTTTGATATTTTTGTCTTGACGTGTACCAAAATGCATTTCAAAGCCAAGAGAAGGGCTCAGCATGAGCTGCTTTTTTAAGGCAGGAGGATATTCTCTGCTGCATATTGGAAATGAATTTTTATGATTGGTCTAAACACAAATCTGGTGGGTTTTGATACACACACATCCAATAGCTTCATCAGTCATGAGAAGACAAAGCCAAGAGTGGTTCTTCAGTTTTTGTAAATGCACAGTCCTTCCGTTCAATAACTGAATTGTAATATTGGATAACAAATGGGAAAATATTTCCCTCTGTTTGGCAGATGTTTCACAGCTGCTCTTTTGCCCAGAACATGTTTGGTTTAATCTAGACAGATATAAGAGACATCTCATCAAACTCTTTCAAAACACAGACCAAAAGCATTTATATGATTAAATGCTTCTTTAATTCTGTAAACGCCATGAAATCAGCAAGGAAATGACATTTAAATGACATTTATCGCTCAGTTTGTCCCACCACCGGGATTTATTTCTCCATAAAATCTGAATTTGGAGAGAAACCTTTTGTAAAACCTGAAATTGGAGCTGCTTTTCACTGTCTCCAAAAACACTGCACAGAAAAGCTGCTTTTGGGGCGGATAGAGAGAGGTGACCCTCCGTGTCATCTTTGTTTATGTAGTATTGTCGTCCAAGGTGTACAGTATTGACTTTAGACAGGAAAACCGAACCGTTTCTTTTTCTTGCTAAATAAATTGATGTTAAAAACAGCTGGAACATATCCTAGAAAAGCTGCTGGTTGGGAGCTTCTGAGATGTTGGCAGTGAGGAAAAGCTTCCCTGTTTCTGCCCGCTGTGAAGTGTGCATGGTCTGGTTCGAGCCCTTCCAACTCTGCAGCAAGAATCCGGGACATCCTGGGCCAGGTGGGCTGGGAATGGAATTGGAGAGAGTGAGAGGTGCAGTCAGGTTCATGGGGACTGCAGGAGCACATAAAACACCTCGACTCCAGTGTAGGATCCATGAAAATTTCGAATGGAAGGTGATGGAAAGGACTCTTGGAGTAAAACCCAGGGGATTACTGAGAGCACATAAAAATCCAAACAGCTGGGGATGTACCTAGGTGACAGAAAGGGGACAGGGGAAGGGTTATTATTCCAACAGAAATATCCTAAAATGCTTAATTCAAGTTACAATTGCGTATTTTTATCTTCAGCCAACTGGTTTGGATTTTTAGAAACCGATGTTAATTTAAGTCTGTATCTGTTTATTTTTGTATTTGTTGTACAAAAGAGAAATTGTGACTTTACTACACAAATATTTTTCGAGTCCTGGGTGCTATTAATTTAAACATACCTCCTCCAGAATTAGGGGTGATCAAGGCAGTCATGACCTATCAATGACTTGCAATCATGTGTGCTAGCTATTAATGAATAGGTGGGACAGTACCAGTTTTTAGCCAAATATTGACAGATTTTATTTCTGATACCAAGACATTTCTCAGCCTGCTATATTTCAGTGCAGCTTAAAGATGCATCACGTCTGTATGTCACCAGGCCCTCTCCTCCTCAGCCCCAGCTCAGCACATCTGTAGGCACCTGAAGCATCCAGGTGTAGCCAAAGCTGATGCTGCCTGGTTGTTCTTTCCCAAGAATTTGGGGTTTGGAAGCAATGGCATGGTCCTTGCAGAACACCCAGCTCAGCCCAACCTCCAGGAAACACAACCAGGGTGACATCCAGAGCCTGTGCTGGTGGGGCTTGGGCTCCACTCATTCCTTCTTTTTAAGACTTCCAGCCAACAGCTGGTGGAGGAGGCTCCAGTTCGTCACTTGTGCAGTCTAAATATTTAGGGCCAGTTCATAGAGTTGCTTTTCTTTTCTTTTCTTTTTTTTTTTTTGTTTTTCTATGAAAAATGGTGTATTTTACTTCCTATGTATAAAAGTTACTTGTAAATTTTTGTGTGCCTTTGCATGTTTTCCAAGGGGCTGTGGTTGTTTATAAACTATATTTTTTTTTTTTTGTCCAAATACAGAATTGTAAAATATCTTTTCCTCCCTACCCTTCAATTTTCTTTCAAATTCTGAATTATTTGTGAAATAAAACCTTCCTGGAATGAATGCTTCCCTTGTCTTTAGTGCTCAGCCAGAGTTGGGTTGGGTTGAAGAGTCGGTAGAAGAGTTATTTGGGATTAATCCTGGGGACTAGAGCATTCCCTGAAGACTCCAAAAGAAATAAGTATGTGCAAAGCCTATTCCACAAACAAACTGCCCACTACCCAGGTATTAAAACTCAGTCTTTACCCCATCAAAAATAAGAATTATCCTTAGTGAAACATACTGAGAGTAAGGGAAAATCACTGCCTGTCTTTGAATGCCTGCAGCATAAGGCTGAATTAGATTAATGGGTTGGAAATAGTGTTTAATGATTTAGTGCTATAAAATACAAGCGAGGTGAACTCCTCCCCACCTGAGCAGGCTGGTGTGAATTGTGCCCTTATTTTTTGAAAGGAAAAGTATTCAGATTTTGTAATTCCCTTTGAAATTTTCTCCAGGCTCATCCTTGCTGACAGCACCGCAAATCAAACCAAGATTTTTCCTGGTAATCCAACCCCATTTGGTCAAAGAAGCAACACAGGGAGGTTCATAACTCATCCTCCAGACAATGAGCACCAGATGGGTTTTGACCAAAAATGTAGGCTGGGCCATGGGATGAGGTCCTGATTGACCAGGCCATGAAATTTGTGTTTTTCATTACCTATACAAGAGGATTAATGTTAAATCCAGAGATGTTTGCTTTAATTCAGGGCTGGGCTGATGCAGTTCTGGTTGAACAATATTTCCCTGTAAACAGCCCCAGCCTAGGACTGATGAGATAACCTCATTATTGCCCTGCCAGTGATTTCTGTCAAAGGGGATCTTCATGGCTCCTGCATTCTCTGCAGTTCCAAACTGCCCATTTGAATTTACTTTGTGCTCTCCTTCCCCCATTCTTACTGCTGCAAAAATATCTCTGCTGAATATATTTGGGAGGATTTTCCTAAGCAGAGCTTAAAGGTAAGCAGAGGGGGGAATTCAGGCTATTGGTTCTTGTGAGGCTGCCTAGAGCATCCCATTAATGTCAATAGTTGTTTAATATCTTATTTGTTGGCATCCCATTAATGGCAATAGTTGTTTGATATCTTATTTGTTGGCATCCCATTAATGGCAATAGTTGTTTGATATCTTATTTGTTGGTGCTACAAAATGCCCCACTCTGTGATTTGGATTTTTGATATTTAAGGTCCCTACCAACTAAATCCATTCTACGATTCTGTGAGTTCTGTGGTAAAATTAAGGTCCTGGTTGGCCTAGAGAGCAAAACAGCATAACACTCAAAATTTGGGGCTGAACCTAACCCATCCTTTGGGTCAGTTTGCCATTCTTTGACACAATCTCTGGTTTTGTCTCCTCCTGCTCGAGCCCTGGGCTTTGTCCTCTGCTTGTCCACCAGAAATTGGTGTTATCACAAGTGCTGTGTGCCAAACAAAGCTGTGCCTGCTTCCTGTACAACAGGGATGAAAACCAGGTAAGGGAAGGCTCAGGGGGAAACACACAGGCTGGAGAAATAATAATTATTTTTTTCCCAACTGGGGTGGGATCCAGATTCTCTTTGAGCTGAGAAGACATAGAGATTGGCAGGTCGAAGGAAAGTTGAGGGGAAAGGAAGGAGAAACCCACGTGGAGCTGAGCGAGGGTGGCAGATCTGATATTCCCACATTGCTGGGAATCCTTGGGAATCAACAAGCAGCTGAGCTCTCTCTGCTTGCTGCTTCGGGCACAAATATCTTGTTGCTGGTTGTTTTGCCTTCTGCTGGCTGCTCCTCAGCCCGTGCTGAGCTCATCAGAGCCTATGTATAGCACGGGCATACCTTGGGGTGGGTGTCCTTCCAAAAACCCACAGTCATTTATAGGATGCACCCCAATGTTTTCAAAGCCATTTTGCAAACGATGGGGTTGGCTCTCATTTACACTAAGGACCTACTTTGAGGCACTTAGGAGGCATTTATGCCACTTTAGGGTGTGGGGAGAGCAGCGTAAAGAAGCCTCAGTGTAAACAGAAACCACCCTTCTATCTTGTTGACAGTGGTTAAAATTGGGTTAGGGAGTTAAGTCAACAGACAAGGTCTGCCTTGTGCTGCTCCCTCTGCTCCTCACCCAGGGGAGGGCTGTCCACAGTGTCCCACATGTCCAGCACATGGCAGGGAGATTCAGTGTCAAAAGGAATACAAGAATATTTATAGCGGGTGAAAAGTCAGGAGGCGCAGGTGGAACATGAGAGCAGAAAGGAGAAGGGAGCAAAATAAATCCAGAGCTTTGGGATGTCCTCCAAGGGCTGATTCTGTCGGGTCTGAGCTCCTGTGGTTTAGGGGCTGTGGGTGACTGTGACCCCGAGGGGGGACCTGCCAACACATACAACTGTCCTGAGGAGTGCTTGACTGAGAGCTGAAGTTTTTATTTAGTAGCTGCCTCAAGGCTTGTTTCTGCACATCTGTCTTTTGCACATGTGGAAACTGAGAAAACGCCACCTATGAACTAAACCCAGGGGCTAGAGGACAAGTTTCTCAGAAACAAATCTCAAAAGCAGCCTAATTTCCCCCCCACCAGATGAGCAGGCTTTGTAAATTTGAAAAAACAGATAAATCAAATAGAGATTGACTGTAGGAGGTAGAGGTATTGATACCATCTTACTTGATGTGTTTGTAATGAAAATATTATTTATATCAATGCAGGTTGCTCCAAAACTCCATCGGTACCTGTGATGGAAGAAACAGGCTGAAAAATCAGGTGACACTTGGAAGGGAAGAGTACAAGGAATAATAATAAAAGATAGAGATCAACAAAGAGCAAGGAACAAATCAGCCCAGCTGAGATAAAGAGTCAAAACCATCACATTATGGCCAAGAAGATAAAAATCATATCAGGTGTGAAAGGATCAGCAAGGCAGGTAAGAAACCTCCCAGCTTTTCTTCCTCTGTTCAGGTCTCTGGTGCAATGTGACATTGTTTGGGCTTGTCCTGTTACTGCCTGGAAAAATATTCATCCTGCTGTGGGAAGTCCAGGAGGAAAGAGA